CTCTGTTAATTTGTTATGGAACATCTACCCTTTTTTACCTTGAAAAAGAATTGTTTACATTCTGTTTTGAATGTTTGATTATAAAAGAGATTTGAATTATATTAAGCCCAAAGCAATAATAAATTAAGAACTTTGAATATTATAATATTATGCATTAATCAAGGAGAGAAGGTACCTAGAACTAAGGAGAGATTTCCTGACGCAACAATTAATCAGTGAAATGACTTGTCTCCAGAAGTTGTGGATGCTCCAATACTGGAAGATTTTAAGAAGAGATTGGACAACATTTGGCTTAAATGCTATAAAGTTTCCTGCCTGAGCAGGGGTTGGATTAGAAGACCTCCAATGTCTCTTCCAACTCTGTTATATGTTCTACAATGCCCCCCCTGCCCCCTGTCAAAGAAGATATAAAAGAGAGATGGGACTCAAATAAGTTTAACATTAAAGTCTTCTTGAAAATTTTTGAAAAAAAATGTTTGCCAACTTACAAGTTTTAAATGGAAAATTAGATAAAAGATTTGTGAATTTGTCACACATTTCAAATCATCCTAAAGAAGACATCCAGAAACAGGCAACAATAAATAAATCAGTTGTACAATTGGATGGATTGGAATTCATGATTAACAGATTTGCCTGAAACCTGAAGATTTGCTAAGGGTGCTAAAGGAGGTATTAATGAATAGAACTTCCTTAGGAAAGTTCATGAAGTCAGTGGAATAAAACCATCACGTTTAACTAGAAGACAGCCGTCAAGACACATGGTGTTGCAATTTAAAGGAAAAGTTCAAATTCTAAAGAAGTGTTTTACTAAAGAAGTGTTATGGAGATATCTTCAATAGAGACCTATGTTTTTGGGGAGTGAGAAGCAGCTGCTTGGAAAGATTCCATTTATAATTTTAAAGAAAAGCAAAGATGATAAACTAGAAGGAGTTGTTTTTATTTTATTTTATGACAGTGAGAACAATCAACCAATGGAACAGCTTGCGTTCGGAAGTTGTGGGAGCTTCATCACTGGAAGCTTTCAAGAAGAGATTGGACTTCCATTTGTCAGAAATGGTGTAGGGTCTCCTGCTTGGGTGGAAAATTGCACTAGATGACCTACAAGGTCCCTTCCAACTCTGTTATTCTAATCTAGACCAAGATCCAAATGTTGAAGGATAGCAGAAGTCAATTCTCTGGGTGATGAACTATCTTCCCCAGCATTACTTTCTGGAGATGTCCTGACATGAAGGTTCACAACCACAACAGAACACACTCGAGGGGTATGTGTCTGTAATTTTTCACTAACCTGCTTTTCTCCAGCCTCTCTTCTGCACATGGACCCCAGAAAAAGTTGAGCCACCGGGCCTGGTGGCTCAGCAGACTAAAAGCATTGTGATTAACACCATCTGTCTGCAATTACTGTAAGTTCGAATCTCACCAGGCTCAAGGTTGACTCAGCCTTCCATCCTTTCTAAGGCAGGTAAAATGAGGACCCAGTTTGTGGTGGCAATAGGCTGACTTTGTATAATTATACAAAAGTATGAAGGCTATTGCTTAACGCATTGTAAGCCGCCCTGAGTCTCCGGAGAAGGGCGGCATATAAATCAAATTAAAAAAAAAAAAAAAGTTCAGGATCCCAAGAGGAGAAGTTGCTCCTCACTGAAATAATGACTATCTGGACCTTTGAGACCTTTGATGCTCTTTCTCCAGTTACTGACTTTGATGTAGACATCAGATTGAAGCCATATGCAAAGGATCTTGTATTATTATCTATCAATGGTATTTAATCCTGGATAGATCAGAGACAATGGCTGCAGTGGGTTTATAAGAAACTAGAGGCTATTGCTACAAGTTAAAAACAATAATAAATTGTTAACAGAAGACTTTGAAGTTTAGCTTTGATGTTGGGACTGTTTTTTTTTATAATGGATATGTGATAGGTCAAATTGGTTGACTGATAATAGATTACTATATTTGTGGTATTTTTAATGTTATTTAGCAATTCTTCAAATGAAAATGAATAAATTCATAACTTGTGGGCCTGTTTTGCAAGGCGGGGGGAGGGGGGGAAGAGAACAATTATTATTGCTGAAATATATTTATCAGTATTCAACCAAGGGGGACATTTTATGTGTATGTTTAATATTTTGTTCTATAAACTTTTTTTGGTCTTTATTTTTATCTTGTATTTTTTTCTTTTTCTTGTTTGATGCTGTATTTTAAAAAAAGAGAAAAAATGGAATTAGTGCTGCTGACAAAATATAAACTAATCAACACACATATATGTGCTTTATTTTCAAATTAAATGATTTAAAATGGGATATTACTGTCAGACCTTTGATTATTATGGTAAACTGCAGCTGCTATATAGAGGGTAGAAAAAAAATACTGCCTTGGTCCACAGAAGACACTTGAACCCCTGTTGGTCTAAATGAGCTTTTATTAATAATTATTAATATTTTCTTGGTATTATCAACATAAATAACTACTAAACAATGTGATTTTTTGCTAGACTTACCAGGTCTGTCATCTAGGACTAAAGTACTGCCACTTGAAGAGTGAAGCAACAAATGACAATCTGAAGTCAAAAAATTAGGTTCAATCAGTTCTGGGGAACCTTGAAGTACCTAAAAAAAGATCAAACACAAATTAAAACTTTATTTTCTCCATTTCATAAATGTTTTACCAGACAATAATTAGCACTAGAGATCTGTTCTAAAATGGAAGTCAAGTTGCACATACTGTACATAATAAAAATAATTTGAATTCTACCATAGACATGATATGGTTTAACTCCAAGCATAACACAATTCTGCTGAATGACCAACAACGTAAATTCCATACAGCTTCATGCTAGATTAGTGGAATTGTTCTGATTTAGGAAGAGTGACCATTTTAACAATGTTTCTCTTTACAAGATTTTAACAAGAGCCACAAATATCCTCCTCATGTAATAAAACTGTAAATTCTCCTTTGCACAGATGCTTGCACAAAGCATAGTATTCTGTCTCTCAAAAGAAATAGCGTTAACTAATAAAAAAAGAATCCAAAGATTCTGGAGTTCACACCTGCCTTAGACAGATTGCCAGAGAATGGGGGTCAGGACCGAGTTCAAAATGATCAAATGGTAAATACAAAATAATGCATAATTTGCATAGAGAGATTCTCTATTCCATTTTTAATACAGGTTTATTTATCTAATCTTCAAATGGAAAAATATGATTTTAAATTTGTTTATTTATATTTATTAATGAAATTTTTATGCTACTCATCTAACTGACCGAAGCAACTCTGGGTGGCTTACAATGTAATAATATACATTATTACATTTCAATTTCAAATCTTTATTGTCAGTGCACAACATGCACAAACCATGAGATTGGTGGAACTCCCTCAGTGTACCCCCCCAACACAATACAACTCACAGTGAAGACAGAAAAATCCCTAACCCAATAAATTATATTAACAAAACACCCAGTCCTATTATACCATATATTACATTATTACATATTAAAATAATATATATTTTATAAATATAATATATAAAATTAAAATTAACAAGAAGCAGATAAAAAACTATTAACCTAGAGTATGAACGATACAGAGGTGGAATCTTCTCTATTGCTCATAGCAATCTCCAGCATGGAGCATATCCATTAAGATCCCAAGCCAATAAGCAGAGCCAGGTTCTAAGACCCTTTCCAAAAGGAGATGTGGCAGATTGCACCTTTGGTGGCAAGCTATTCCAAAGTAGGGGACATGGTAGAAAGGACTTTCTCAACCCTGCCAGCCAAAATTCTTTGAATGATGGGGTCTGCAGCATGGTCCTTCTGCCAGAGTGAATGGGGTGAACAATCCAGTTGTGATGAGATGGTTCTGCAGATAACCTGGTACCATGCCATGAAGAATTTAAAGGTGGCGATCAACACTTTGAATTAGACCCAGAAGCAAACTGGTAGCCAATGTAGCTTGCATAACAGTGCTGTTTCATGCGCCACCCTAAGGGCCTCTAATAGTGATTATGCCACTACCTTCTATACCAATTGTAGCTCCCTAATATTTCTCAAGGGTAGCCTCATGTAGAGCGCAATGCAGCAGTCTAAATGAGAGATGACCAAAGCATGACTCAGCACAGGACTTCATGATTCAAGAAAGGGTGCAGCTGATGCACAATACTATGCTGCATGAAAACTTTCCTTTGGAATCCACGCAGATTCCTCAATTTCTGAGGATGGATCATTTGAATGGGTCCCATCTCCCTGCAAGGGGCGAGGGCACTATAACCATGACAGAAGGGATAATACCAAATCACCCTCCATATCACATTGACACTGATTTGACAAGATCATATCCAGAGTGTGACCATTGTCCAAGTCAGGCCATGGATGACCTGAGATAGATCCATAACAATGGTGATGATCCAAAAACTGTAAGCCACTTCTCAGACCATCCTCAAGGATGACAGATTGAAGTCCCTCAGAACAATGAGTTTGGAGAAATCCACTACCCAAATCCAAGATAGCCTCCAGCAAACACAGGCAGAAAAGTTGCTATGCATTAGGGAGACTGGTACAGCAGCAACAGTCCCAACTGATCCTGTGAGTCCAGCTTCAGGAACAGGGATTCACATCCAGAAATTCAAGGACCATGGCCCATTATTCAAAAGAGATTTCTGAATGGCAACTACTACTCCCCTTCCCTGAGGTCTCTGCTGGGGCCAAAACGTAATTCTTGCTGGACATACCACCAAGAGGGAAACTTCCCCCTCTGGTGACAGCCAAGTCTTGGTGATACACATAGATATGTGTATCACATAAATTAGCTTGCTCCTCCCTAATAAGGTGACAAATAAGGGACCCTGATATTAACCAACCAATCAGCAGCAACCAGAACCTAGGCCTATGATAGTTTGCTGTGTAGGATCTGGACCTTACCTTAGAGAGCCAGAACAAGTTTCAACTTTGTTAGGGTTTCAGAATATTAAATTGTGGGTTAGTAAAAAAATATGAATTACAAATATTACTTAAAATTTCAAATATACAGTATTCAGAAACTGAACAGATTTAGAAACTATAATTATCCTAAGTAAAACAAACCTTGGGGGAAAAGAAATAAATAGGTCAAAATTGAATTATTTAGAAATTTCCACAGCAAAAATAAAAAACTAACATTTTAAAAATGATCTTAAAAGTCAAAACAGGAAAAGCAAATAAATGCCTAATTTTTCTTAAACTTATCCTGAAATTTTGATTATTTATTTAATATTTGTTTGTTTGTTTGTTTATTAAATTTTTATGCTGCCTATTTCTCCTGTCAGGTGACTCTGGGCATTCTAGAAGGATCAGATGAAAAATAATCACATCTAAATATGCAAAGCTAAATAATGAATAGAGAGTAGCAAAGCTCATGAAACTCAAATTCTGACAACCAATCAGGAGGACCAGGAAGGTTTACTCTTTCTCAGATGAGCTTTTAAAGGAGAAGGAGGTGTTCTAATTTGTGTCCTTTTGCCTTCCATGCCTGATGATGGCTGGTTTCCTGGGTAAAAAATGTGTCCCATCTGGAGAAATGTTAGAAAATCAATGCTGGAAAATCAGAAAGAAACAGCAACATATGTAAATGTGAATTAAAATATTTAGGCAAATGATTTTAAGAATTCAACTGAACCATTCCCCCTGTATCATATTTAATTTTGTCTATACTATGTGGCTATGTATTTCTTCCTGGAAGATTAGCAGTGAGTTTAAGACTGAAAATATTAGCTTCTTAGTATTGATTTATGTTTAGAAACGTATTTTCTTCTGAGACCAGTAGTGTTACAGGATCTAGAATGCATGCAATAGAAAGGCAAAAACTCTGAGTCCAGGGTAAGTTTCCCTATCTCTTTCCACTTTATAAAGATAGAGGCAGATTTTTTTCAGTAAAAAAATGGGTATTGGCATTATTCATGAGACTGTAGGATGGAAAGAAAAAGTTCAGAGATTCTTTCCTGAGGGAAGAACTCAGCATAACACACATCTGAATATGAAAATAATTCAAATTAAAAGAGGACTAACCTGTGTTAAGAAAAAAATCAAGAGTGAAAACTTGGCTATATACTTCACAAGAAGCTGTAGATTAGAAATACTTCCAAATTTTTTCTATATGAAGTCATATAATAACTCTTTTTCTCCTTTATATTTGGCATGCAATAGCAATAATTTCAAACAGCAGCCAAGAAAATCACACATAGATCTTCAGAAGAAATGCACTGAATTCAAAAAAGCTACTGGTCTAAAGAATGGATAACTTTGAGAAATTCTAGATTATTGAATTTGGAGGGACACAATTTGTTGATGGAGTGGCATGCCTTTTTATGGTACAAAGGCACAAAAATACAAGGGTATTTTAGAAGACATCAAATACGTGAAGCTTTATGGTTGAATTGGGAGAAAGTCAAAAAATACCATTATTTGAAGATTCCAACCTGGATATCTACAACTGAAGCTTTTTCATATCCAGTAATACTCAAAAGGGAACAAATTATTAGATATAGTGAATTGTTGGATGAAAAGGGTGAATTTAAATTAAAGCAGGAATTAGAAGACCAGGGATATAAGATAGATTGGTTTTCATATATGCAAAGATCTCAAACAAGAAGGTTTTTATAATGTCTTGACTAATTTAGATAAAATTTTAATGGGCTCTGATGATCATATAATTAAAAAGTTGTATGGATATTTGTTAGAAGTAAAATTGGAAGAAGAACAAGTTAAAGAAACAATGATAGTGTGGGAGAAAAATTTTGGTTACGGTATTGATTTAGACAAATGGCAAAAATTGTGGTCACATAATTATAAAATGACAATGTCTACAGCTTATAAGGAGAATTTGTATAAGATGTTTTACAGGTGGCATTTACCCCCGAGACGAGAATAGCCAGAATGTTCCAGAATAAATCGGAGAAGTATTGGAAGTGTCATCAGACTCCAGGTCCTGTTACCACATGTGGTGGACATGTGGAGATGCAAAGAGATATTGGACTAAGATACAAACGTGGTTGGAAAAAATGACTAAGAGACATATTAGTTTTAAACCAGAGATATTTTTATTAGGGATCTTACCAGAGATATATAATAAAGAATTGCAATATTTAATTGTGAACCTTTTAACAGCAGCTAGAATTGTATTTGCAAAAAAAAGGGAAGGAGAAAGGACGCTTACTGATGAAGAAATTATTAAGAAAATGATGGACTGTGCTGAAATGAGTAAATTGACATTTGAAATAAGAAAGCAGGAAGATAAACAATATTATTTGATATGGGATTTATTTTATCAATGGATGGACAGTAAGACATGGAGATAAATATATAATATGTGGATGTTGAGATAAATTAAGTGGAATATTTCTTATGAAAATAAGCTTTGGATGTATAGTGATATTTTGAAGAGAAGAGGGAGCACAAAAGGATATTAACCAATCGATACACTCACTGTAATTATTTGGGAATGATGATGTTTTTATGTTTTATTTTTGTTTTAAAATAAAATCTTTGTGAAAAAAAAAGCTACTGGTGACGGATGGCAAATTAACATTCTAAGGAAAGTGGAAGGCATTATGATGAAAGGCAGATAGGTGTTGGAGCTTGGACTGCTGAAAATTCTCTCCTGATCAAGAAGAGATTTTAAGAATACATTGTATGTAGCTCCTTCCTTCTTTCCTTCCTTCCTTCCTTCCTTCCTTCCTTCCTTCCTTCTTCCTTCCTTCCTTCCTTCTTTCCTTCCCTTCCCTTCCCTTCCCTTCCCTTCCCTCCCTTCCTTCTTTCCTTCCTTGTAAGTAGATGGCAGAAACATATGTTTTAGTAGTCTTTTGGAAACAACTGGGAGTTGTGATATTCCATTGAGTTCAGAGCTATTAATGTAGCCTTTTATGAACTCAAGGTCAACCATCCTCATCTTTTAAAATCACTTTGGAGTTTACTTTTTAAAAACTCTTTGTTAAAGTTTGAAAGTTCGCAAAACCACAAGTCTGGTTTTATTTGCTGGGTGAGTCCTCCTTCAATTTAAGAAAAAAAATAAAGTTTTGTTAATTTTCTTTTTGGAATATACAACAAAACTTTGATTACAGTGTTGATTTAAAAAGTTTTAAATGAATTAAAAGTTCAAATAGATTTAATTAAAATAAGATTCAGAAATTAATTAAAAGGATCTTTTCTCATTCGAAAATTCCTTTTGTTTATATTTTAATTTTGAAGTATGCTATCAGATGGTTACGTTAAAAGAAATGATGGATAAGCGAGTGCAGGAGCTTTTGAGCTATTTAACTCTGTAGTGGATTAGGAGGTGTTAATGAAGAAGAAAAAACCTTAGTGAATAAAACTGAAATAGATTTATAGTTGGATTTAAAAATTACAGCCTACAAGAAAGAGGTAGAAATAACAGGCTTACAAATGAAATCAGATGATGATTTAATTTTTTTTAAAGATATATGACTAGTAAATTAGAAGAGCAATGTGGATTATTTTCATATACTGAGTTTGCAAAAGGGATTAACTAGAGTGGCCACAAAGGAATTACAAAATGGTCCAGATAATGAAGACATCAATTTGAAGAAAAGAGATAAAGAGAGTATGAGAGAGCAGATGTTAGAAAAAGAATTTTAATACAAAATTGGTTTATTTGATTAATGTTAAAACAATGGCTTCTTATTTTTGGTAAAAAAAATTTTTAACTAGAACTGACTATTTAAAGAGAAGAAATGGGGGAAATTGTTTAAATAGAAATAGAGATATAAATATATAAAGAAGGATTCAAATGGGATGTAATATAGTTTGTAATGCTTACGTTGTTTTTTTATAACAAATAATGGGTTGCTATTTTGGTGATGTTTAATCATGGTTATTTTTGGTAATGTTTAATTATTTTTTTTTTACTAGGATTGGAATTTGATTATTTGAAGAGAGGAAATTTGTTTAAATAGAAAAGGAGATGTAAATATAAAAGGAAGAAATAAAAGTGGGTGTAATAGTTTATTACGTAGTACTTATTTCTGATAAATTCCTACTGAATTTTTTGCTGAATAATATGGAAAAATATTTAGAATTAGACTCCAAACTTTAATATGGCTTATCTCACAAAACAGTAATTAAGTCCCGTTTAAGCATCATATTAAATGTTTGTTATAAATTGCTACATATCAATTAAATTTCAGTCATTCTTAAAATAATAATTTGAGTACCCACTTATTATGAATAAAATATGAAAAGTTTTAAACATTGAATATCTTAAACTTTGAAAACAAGTCCTCTGAATATATGGCCCACATTTCAAATAGGGAAAAAAATTCTGTAATTGTAGAAATGTTCTTTTGAATACTATACCTTCTTAATCTCAGACTTCAAATTACATGGATTACTCTGCTGACTGAATAAAGATTTCTTGAATCTCTCGATAATCCTTCTGTTCAAATTGCAATGAAGTGTTGGTGGCAGCTGTTTGAAAATGCAGAAAACTCTTATATGTTAATGAAAAACTGCATAATTAATTATTCTTAACTAGCAAAGTAACAAGAAAAACAGCAAGTAATTTTTATTGTTGGAAAATATATTTTATAGTATTTAGCATGTATTTACCTCTCTATTACTTCTAATTTATTAAGTACCTTGGACTGTTTAAAGCATTTCATATTCATAAGGTCACTAATCCCTCAAAATATTGCAAGTTATGTATCTTAGTATCAATGCCCTTATTTCACTGTGGTGGACTGGACTAAGCAGCAGTAACTTTTTCATGGTTGCATAACAAAACTGTGGATTTTCAGACAACTATAAAATTTACGAAGTACAAAAGTACTTTCAAATGCAAAATATCCAATGTACAAACTGATACAAGAAATTAAACTCTCTTATAACTTTTAGTGAACCATATGTAGTAGTGCTAAATAAAAGTGATAGCCGACAAAAAATGAAACAAATTATACTGTCTTGCACATCTTGCCTTCTTTCATAGCTCTCGTAGCCTTCTATTATCCGATAAAATCACATTTTGCCTTCTGAAAGACTTTGTTTTCCTTTGTTCATAAAATTTCCCCTTCTTTTTATACCTATGTATCAGGTGGGATTCACTTACCTTCCCTACCGGTTCACAAATGTGAGCTTGCACGCATACTCACTTCACTCACGCATGCCATCTCTGCACATGCGCAGTAGTCGCACATTACATCTGGGCAGGTTCCATCGCATTGACCCATCCTATCCAATCAGGCAGGGGAAATATAGTGTGAGCACCATCAATTAAAGAACTTCAACTAGTGGAGAGAGCATTCTCTATTTTGTCCCCACCATATGGAATATTCTTCTCCTAGAGGTGAGGCAGGCCACCACATTCCTAGCCTTCCAAAAAGGAATTAAAACATGACTCTGCAGCCTTGCATGGAGAGCCTAAAGGAGCAGGCAGTCATGGGGTTGGTTAGTGCCATGAAAGATCTCAATCATTTTTACCAGAGTTAATTATTCTCGGCTTCTTAAAATGTTATTATCATCACACTGAGTACATTGGGTTACAAGCGTATTCCACAATTTTCAGTCCGCAGCTAGTCTCTGCATCTTTCCATTTACTGTGAATGTTTTTCAGATCTTCTTGAAATGTTTGGTGCATAAATGTTATTATAATCATTTAAATTTTTTAACTTAAAATTTCAACTTTAATATTTAAATTTTTATATACTGTTTTATATTTCAATGTTTTACTGTATACCTCCCAGAGTCCCTCTTTGAGGAGATGGGTGGTTTAGAAATATGAAAAATAAATAAAGTATTTATAAAAGAGTGGTTTTTTTATTTCATGTTTTTAATAGTCCATCTCTCTTTTTTATTATGCCTACACAAAGACAGAGCAACAATTTCCCAGTAAACTGATTCAAAATATGTTTGTATGTTGTGCAAAAAAAGAGCTTTTAGGTGTGTTTATAATTTGGAGACCTTGGTGCTCTCTGAGCTTCATTGGTTGCTTGCAAATGTTTCATTACCTTATTAGGTAATATCAAGTTACCTAATTAAGTAATGAAACATCTACATGCAAATCCAAAGTCAGAGAGAACCAAGGACTCCACAGTTCAACTTTGAGCTAGATACAGTCAGGTCCAGAAATATTGGGACATCGACACAATTCTAACATCTTTGACTCTAAACACCACCACAATGGAGTTGGAATGAAACAAACACAATGTGCGTTAACTACAGACTGTCAGCTTTAATTTGAGCGTATGTACATCCAACTCAGGTGAACGGTGTAGGATTTACAGCAGTTTGTATATGTGCCTCCCACTTGTTAAGGGACCAAAAGTAATGGGACAATTGGCTTCTCAGCTGTTCCATGGCCAGGTGTGTGATATTCCCTCATTACCCCAATTACAATGTGCAGATAAAAGGTAAAAAAGTAACAATGTGCAGATAAAAGTATTAAGAAGGGAAAGTTTGATTTATGATTATTATTCTGTCCCATTACTTTTGGTCCCTTAACAAGTGGGAGGCACATATACAAACTGCTGTAAATCCTACACCGTTCACCTGAGTTGGATGTACATACCCTCAAATTAAAGCTGACAGTCTGCAGTTAATGCACATAGTGTTTGTTTCATTCCAACTCCATTGTGGTGGTGTATAGAGCCAAAGATGCTAGAATTGTGTCGATGTCCCAATATTTCTGGACCTGACTGTATACTGTATTCTTTTCTATTGTGTTTATAATGTCCTAGGGATCTAAGACTTGAAGCACCTTCAATGAGTCCCTTAGGAATAGGGCGGTATATAAATTTAATAAATAAATAAATAAATAAATAAATAAATAAATAAATAAATAAATAAATAAATAAATAAATATAAAAATTACTGTTTGAGGTCAAACTTGATTTCAAAAGTTGAAAATTGAAGCTTTATTTATGCTAAAACTCAGTCCTAGTGTGTTTGTTTTCAATGCCAGTGCTAAATTCAAGATAATGTAATACAGGAAATAACTGGTACATAGTTATGCTAATTAGTTTCATTTATAGTAAGAATAAGGGGGGTTAATTACCATATTTTCCGGCATATAAGACGACTTTTTAACACATGAAAATCTTCTCAGAAGTCGGGGGTCATCTTATACGCCGGGTGTCGTTCTCCTGTAACCAGGCAGACCAGCCCGAAAGACTCTGACGAGCCTTAAATGGCTCTGGCGATCCAAGCTCTGACGATCCCAGCTTTGCCTGCTAATCAGGCAAGTCAGCTGGGATGCCAGAGCCATGTAAAAGGAAAAAACTTTTTTCCTTTTACGTGGCTCTGCAAGCTCTGACGATCCCAGCTGAGTTGCCTGCCAATCGGGCAATGCAGCTGGGATCGCCAGAGCCCTGTAAAAGGAAAAAAGTTTTCCCCCTCCAGCTTGCTTACCTTAGCTGCTAATCGCAATGCTTGCCTTGCTTCGCTTGCCTGAATCCATTCCATCAGCAAGCCACTCCCTGCCTACAATCAAGCAGGCAGGAGTTGTGGACTTCAACTCCCAGAATTCCTCAGCCAGCAAAACAAAGCTGGTTGAGGAATTCTGGGAGTTGAAGTCTACAAGTTTTAAAGTTGCCAAGGTTGGAGACCCCTGTTCTATTGGGTAAGTTTTTTTCCCCTTTGGGAGCTGTAAAAAAAATAGTTAATTGGGTTTTTTTTTAGTTGTTCTTTTTCAGACCTAGGCATTTAAAGTTTAGGAAGTTTTAAATTTAGTTTTCATATAAAAATAAAAATAAAATAATATTTATGCAGCTTTCTGAGATTTAGTGTGTTTCTGTAGTGTTTCACTCTAACTACACAAACATACAAAATCTCACAAAGCTGTATGTGGAATTTGGTGTGTGTAAAGTGTGAAAGTTGTTTTTTTGGGCTTTTTGTGGCTGTGTGAGGTTCCTGCTTGTTGCAGGGGCCATTTTGGGTCTAGCACAGCTGCCTTTACATTGTGGGTGAGCCAGTTGTATTGTGTTGTGTGTGTGTAAAGTGTGAAAGTTGGTTTTTTGGGCTTTTTGTGGCTGTGTGAGGTTCCTGCTTGTTGCAGGGGCCATTTTGGGTCTAGCACAGCTGCTTTTACATTGTGGGTGAGCCTGTTGTGTTGTGTTGTGTTGTGTTGTGTTGTGTGTGTGTAAAGTGTGAAAGTTGTTTTCTTGGGCTTTTTGTGGCTGTGTGAGGTTCCTGCTTGTTGCAGGGGCCATTTTGGGTCTAGCACAGCTGCTTTTACATTGTGGGTGAGCCAGTTGATGTTTTTTAATTTTTATTTGGTGTGCGTTGGAAGAGGGGTAGTCTTATACGGTGAGTATAGCCCAAACCCTATATTTTAACAAGAAAAGTCAGGGGTCGTCTTATACGCCCAGTCGTCTTATACGCCCAGTCGTCTTATACGCCGGAAAATACGGTATATATAATTTATGGAGAGATTCTTGTTGCTGTATTTTGGGTTAAAGCTGCCTCTTTTAACAATTGTTCAAGGTTATTTATCAAATACTGAATATATAACATACAAAGGCATAATGTAGTGGCAAAGGCATAATGTTTTCATATAGGGACATTTTGGAGTAAATAAGGGACTCAGGAGGATTGCTTCACTCTGAATGAAATTGAGTAAAGATGTCTCAGTGACTGGATTTTAATTCCTGCTTTGTTTTCAAAGATTTAGATGAGTGGAAATAAGGTAAGAGGTTTACATATTTTTTTTTAAAAAAAAGCTTGCATGATTTCTCTCAGGTCTGAATGAAATCTGTTGCCATGGAGACAGAATGGAGAAAGGATGCTAGAAGTCCAGAAATGACAATGAGAATTCTCGTTTTAGACACTCCAGCTTAGCTTGTTAGAAAGGGTCCAGAACTGATTGCTATCAGAGACCCTATAGAAAAGGATGTGAGGAAGTATTTGAAGACTGTGGCACTTGGTCAGCAATCTTTCAGAACTCTCTAAAGAAATCTGCCTATACTGGGAATATTGTTCGCATTATTTTTTGTTGTAAGCTGCCCAGAGTCCCCAGGGAGTTGGGCAGCATAGAAATGCAACAAATAAATAAATAAATAAAGAGTGGTTGCTTTCCCTTCATTTAAATATATGGTAGAATCTATTAGATTGCAGAAGAATTCCAACATTTTTCCCATGAAGCTTACATTGATGCACTTCTGTTCAATCATATCCATCTACAAAGTTGGCAGATGTTTTTCCTATCCCTTAGGTAGGAAAAACATCTGCTAATGTCCAAAATCCTTCAGTGGAGTTTTGCATCAGACATTACCCTGAAGACCAAATACAAAACTGAGCACCCAATATGGTTTTTGTTTCTATTTGAGTGAGAAAAAAATCAGGGTGATGAATAACATACAAACTTCATTATAGCAGTAGTGCAGAGATTGTATGAAAAGGCTGCAATTCTGCATACTGGATGGTTAAATCTATTGTTGGAAATAGCAACAACTGGAAAAATTGGCCTCATTTGGGAA